TTGGATGAAATGTAGGTCGTAGAAATTTTCAAGAGGATCCTGCTGAGGTAGTCATGTCTGACTATTCAGCAGAGGGTGATATGGATGGTTAACGTGATCCCTTCCGACCACGAGTCCATCTCCGTGTTACCATAATCCTCGACATAGGTATGTCCATGAAGAATCCTGTTGTTTTCTTAGATTGGTTGGATGAAATGGATGACTATTTTGATTGATATGATATGTCTGGCGACCATCAGTTTCATTTTGTCAAAATGAAACTCGTTGGTTTGGTTAAGAGATATTGACAGGGAGTCCAACGAGACTAAGCGTGCTTAGAGGGACAACCTATTACTTTATGGGCTGAGATGAAACAAAGATTGCGAGATAAATATCTCCCTAGTTACTATAAGCGTCAACTCTTGGACAAGTGGATGAACTTGCATCAATTGACCTCGAGTGTGACTGATTACTTAGCTCGATTTGAAGAGCTCTTTATGAGATATAACATAAAGGAAGAGCCTTAGGTAACAGTTATAAAATTCATTAATGGCTTGAGACTTGAGATTAAGAGAGAGATTAACTTACACTCTCCTGAAATGATTGAGGAAGCATATTATAAAGCCTTAGAGATTGAAAAATACCTTAGGCCACCCTTTCATCGTTGCATGCCTTCTCAAACTGGAGAGTCTCAACCATTAAGGTCAGATCCATTTGATAAGTCTCGAGGCGTCACCCAGTCAAGGTCTGTCACATCTAGGGGTAACACTTACCCCCAACTTGAGAGGTAATACCGCTAGGGGTCGAGATTCTACACTCACGGGTTCTCGTCAGGATAGTTCTTCCATAGAGTGTCACAATTGTGATCTTCATGGTTTAATTATTATTTTACATGAGTTTAATAATGATGTTGGTGATATTTAGTTTATTCATCTGGTATTCATTAGGTCAATGGATTGGATCACTTTATTATTTGTCTTCTACTGTATTTTACATTTATTATACACAGAGTTGATTAGTTAAGGCCTTGGTGGCCGGTCCGCCGTCCCCCTATGTGATCTAGGGTGGGGGAGTGACAATCAAGATGCCGGATCATATCCCAAATTCAAGTGGATATACTTTCCAGCGACAACATAAGTACGCTCAGAACCTCCAAGACCATATAAAACATGCACAAAATCATGTCACGAAAGTGAGTAATTTTACCACCTAGTTCATTCTACATTAGAATGTGAGCCTTCTAATCATTGGACCCCGTTATATTCCCAAATATGAGAAGTTAACTTTCTGTTAAGGCTTAATCTTCACATGGAAAAACATTTTATCATGTGTAACTTGAAAGGAAATTGACCACTTCACTTAAATAAAACGAAGTTAAACATCATAAAATGCTTCCTACAACTCTCAACTAAATATATCTACACTGATCTTCTATGTCAGGTGACACTTATGGTTATTTTAACTTTCTTCGCATCTTTTACCAAGTACCTACTGATCTATGGTCCCACCATCGAGTCCATTCCTCCATTCACTCCACTTCCTATCATCCAATGTTACCTAGATCGTTAGTCTATTCGGTACGTGTTAATTATATGTCCATATCTTAAAGTTTGTAATAAAAATTCATAATCCAAAACAATGCACTGACTAATGGTTATGAATAAAAAAGTTAACGAATGTATTTTGAACATTCCAATCACAACAGATCAAAATGTATGTTTAAAATCATCAAAATAAAGAGATAAAGTGCCAGTTTTGGTAACAATTTGGGGTTATATAGATTGTGAGTCGATTTGAGGCCAAGGATACAAGTTAGGGTTGGTAATTTGGGTGATCTTGGTCACAAACCCTCCTCATTTGGAGTCGTGTGATCCTAGATTGATGAATGCCTAGGATATCTACGATCCCAGTAAATCTATCCTATACCTACCTTAGAGCCTTCAGAAGGAGAAGAAAGAAGACTCGTGTTAAATCAGTACTATTATCTATCAAGGTGTTTTAGATCTCCTTGATAACTCCAAATGCATTTGGCTTCACAATTGTAATAGAACATTGTTTTTATTTTTCCTCTTTCTATGGGTGTGAGTGCTTGCATCTTTAAGTGATATCGGACACACTCCTTCCCCCATCTCTTTACAATTTTCTTTTCATTTGTAGACATTTTTACAAGATATATAGTGAAGAGAAAATTCAAAATTTTAGAAAGGCCATTAGTATTACACCTGAGTGATCCCCAGCCCATTATCAGAAGTTTGTTTGCTATTCAAAAAAAGACAATATCACCACAAAATGATACTACAGAGGACTTCACGCAAATCCCATAATTTAAGAGGAGATTTTGGAAAGAGTATTTATATTATGGGTAGTTTAGGCATTTTATATTATTTTATTGCCCTAATATATAAGGGCCTACATTGTGTATCCTTTGTTAAAGGTTGTGTTACTGATTGGATTAGTCTTAATAATATTCTTGACTTCTCTCTGTCTTTTCTTCCCTTTGATCAATGTTAATATGGTATCAGAGTTTTGTTCGATCCAAGTATACTTAAAAAAAAATTTGGAGAACACAGCAGGTCTTTCAACTTCTTCTGAACGAGGGCTGACGTCATTGCTAACGTCATTAGTCTGGAGTCGGGAGAGCACCACCATACTCAATTCTTCATGGGCTTTTCAATGGTATGTTTCGTTTTTGACTTTGAGGCCATCAGATAGGGTTTTTCAATTTTTGAATGTTTTTCAAAAATTTCGGTTCTATTTTTCGATCTGTAATTTTGAGTTATTTTTCTCAAATTTTTTGCTTCCAATCGGGTCTAATGGGTGCAATTAAGAGTGTAAGCTAGCTGGTTGTGTGATTGGAAGGCATTTGGTTGAGTTTTGGTTGGATTTTAGCTACTTTGGATTGTCGGACTACTGTTCACAGTAAGAACAATCGCCTTCTGGGTTGTTTCTGTTCTTGGCTTCTACTGGTGCCTTCTTCTTCGGTTTTGTGGTTGGATTTGTGCTCCCAGTGTGTCAGTTGGACTAATATTTCAATTAGCATTTGCTGGTGCCTTCTTCTTCTGTGTCGGTTGGACTATTTCTCCCTTCACAGTGCACCGACTGCTATTACGTATTGAGTTTAAAATTTTGGGTATGACTGCTATTACGTAATAGTTATTTTTGACCGCTTTGTTTCACTGTGCATCTGATTGTTGTTTTGTGGTTAGATTTGGGAAGTGGTTGTTTCTTGATTTGTTGAGTTGCTGGATTGTTGCTGAAAATTTATTTTTATTACTGTTTTCTGCTTTATTTTTGGTATTATTTTGCCGTGAGCATCGACCCTTTTGTTACCATTATGACAAGTGAACATTCTGATTCTCTTCAGGCTATTAGTGTCAGATTATATGGTGAAAATTATGTATATTGGTCTTATGTTTTGAAAAATTTATTGTTAAGGAAAGAGATGTGGAGTTATGTTAGTGGTGCTTTGCAAGCTCCAACAGATCCAAAGGCAAAGAAATATACTGACGTAAAGAATACCTGGGAGATCAACAATGTTAAAATCATCACTTGGATTAACAACTCAGTTGATTAGACCGTTGGTGTGCATTTGGCTAAGTTTAACATAACCAAGGAGATTCTTCTATTACTTTATGTGAATGATATGATTATTACAGGTGATGACAATGCTAAAATTCAGCTATTGAAAACTCAGTTACAAAATTATTTTGAGATAAAAAATTTAGGTCCACTTCGATATTTCTTAGGGATTGAGGTTGCTTCTTCTCCCAAGGGCTATCTTCTTTCTCAGTAAAAATATGTCTCAGATGTTATTCAGCGAACTTACTTATCGGATACGCGAATGGTTGACACACCCTTGGAACTCAACATTCGTTATACTTCCTCTGATGGTTCTCTTCTGCCTGATCCTGCCTTATATCGTACTATTATTGGAAGTTTGGTGTATCTTATTGTTAATGGTCCAAATATTGCTTCTGCGGTACATGTGATTAGTCAGTTTGTTGCTACTCCTATTACACTTCACTGGTCTGGCGTTCTTTGGATTCTTCGATATCTGCAGGGTACGTTGCATCAGAGTTTATTATTTTCTTCCTCATCGTTTCTGGAGTTTCGCGCTTATTCTGATACAGACTGGGCTGGTGACTTTATGGATTGCAAGTCCACTAGTGGTTTCTATCTTTTTCTTAGTGATTCTCTTATTTCGTGAAAAAGAAAAAAACAAACTGTTGCAGCTCAATCCCCTTCTGAAGCTGAGTATCGTGCTATGACCTCCACAACAGCAAAGATCATTTGGTTGCGTTGGTTATTTGCTGATCTTGGCATTTCCTTGTCTGCTCCTACTCCTATGTATTGTGATAACTCTAGTACCATTCAGATTGCCCATAACTCGGTGTTTCATGAGTGCACAAAACATATTGAGATTGATTATCACTTTGTGCGCCACCATCTTCAGCTGGGCATGATATCTCTCCCCTTTCTTCCTCCTACTAGGCAGTTGACAGATTTCTTTATGAAATCTCACACCATGGCGCGTTTCCGTTTCCTTCGTGGCAAACTCTTGATGTTTGATGCTACCACATCATGAGTTTGAGGGGGATGTTAAGAGTATGTATATTATGGGTAGTTTAGGCATTTTATATTATTTTGTTGCCCTAATATATAAGGGCCTCTATTGTGTATACTTTGTTAAAGGTTGTATTACTGATTGAACTAGTCTTAATAATATTCTTGACTTCTCTCTCTCTTTTCTTCCCTTTGATCAATGTTAACGGGTACTAACCAGAAGACTAATTAGATTTGGTAGATTACTATGTCAAAAACGACAATTTCTAGAAAAATATGGTAGAAGAGAAAACAAGGGGCAGCAACAAACATATTCCCACAGAAAAAATCACAAGCTGTCAACCAATCCAAGTTTGTAGCTTTCTGTTTATTTTATTCATTCTCAAGTTTACCCATTTCCAACTATGCAATAGAGAGGTATGAAGAAAAAGAAAAAGAAATAGGATCTGATTTGTGATCTAAAATGACAGATGCCTGATAGAGAAGGAAAACAGATAATCAAGATCTTTCTCAGTTGATGCACGAAGGCTTTCAAAAGCATTACCTGAAGGAAGGTGCTCCATAGAAATAATTCTACCCCCTACCCAAGGTACCAGTTTAAGTACCCAATCACCACTTTTCATTTCAATAGGAGCTTTTGAAAGTTCTGTTCCCTTGTGTCCAGAAACATTTTCCACATCTGGAATTGGCTTGGCACTTTCTGCAATTAGCATCTCACTAATTAGTGAACAACACACGACAAGAAGATATTACTAAACGTGTTAAAGAAGAAGTCTGTTTCCACCTGTCAATAATTTCAAGGCTTCTGATTGAGACACATCATTGTAAACATAATAAGAATGAAGATTCCCTTGTTCTTTCACAAGATGAATGCTAGAAAAAATAGATAACATCCCACAAAATAGGGAAAATATATATATAGGTATATAACCAGAAGTAGGACACTGACTACGTTGTCTTGCAGTCCCTAATGCTTGAAGAAAATCCAAAACTTTATGAGATTCAACCAATTTGTATGCATCTAATCTCCCTTAGGGATCCTTTTTCGATTCTTGTCAATGTACATCATATTCTTATTTCTTGAGGGGATGGAAAGGATTCCAAAGAAAGGGAAAGAAGAATTGGGAAGCCAAATAATTTGTAGGAGACAGAACGTACCCAAACGAATCTTTTGCTGCTTCTCACTTGCAGATACCAGACTTGACACTTCATTTTCTGAAGGCATCATGATTTGCAGAACCTCTCCATCAGTGCCCCAAGCATCAAGCTGTTCAAGGAGACCCACATAGATATAACAATAAAACAGAGGAATTCCAGTGTTGAAGCAGTTAATTGGTGGAAGAAATCTGAATAGGACAAATCATTGTACTCTGCGGACAGAACACATACCACAGCACCTTTACCAAGCAATAATTGCATGTGTAAGCGACGTTTGGGCCTCTTCCATGTTCCTTCAACTTTGGAAACTCTCAAAGTAACAACTGAAGGCTGGAGTTCAGCAGCATATGTTGTCAGAAGATATCCACCTTTAGTATAGTCGTATCCATCACCATCATCTTCAAAGAGAACACCTTCAGCTTTACCTGTAATTAAAGAAAACCTAATATATATAACCATTATTGGTGGTTGTGCATTCCTATAAATACGTAACATCCAATACGGCCGGAAAAAATGTTAGTTTATCTACCCAACAAGATTGAACTGGTTGGAAGAAAAAAACCAAAAACAGTGATATTTATGTTTAGGACCCAAAACATCTCACCTTCGAATTAAATGTGATTGACAAATCCTTAAAGAAGCCAGAAAGATACCACACTATACAATATTGTATACCTATGTTTTTATCTGAAACATGTATATTAAGAGTATATCAGATTCCTACAGAAGCTGTTCAGATCCCTATAAATCTATATATATGTAGTCTATTAATATGTATCTTATATTTACGCTACATGTTCCAAAGCAAATCGATCTAGGGTTAATATTACAATTTGAGGTCATACATTTTGGTGATCAGGGTCGCGAATCCACCTTGTTTCAGATCAATGTACTCAAATCGTGGGTCGTCAGGGTTTAAGTTAATTCTGACAACAATGGTTCAAACATAAAAAATCCTAGAGTTTTCTCTATTTTCGCTTCTTTAGAGCTTCTTATACTGTGAATGCCTAATTCTCTGGGAGATGAACTGGAATCCACTTTTATTAGAAGTACTATATTCCTGGACCTTAGTCACCTACAAGGTTGCATTACACTGAATGAAGGAGGAAGAACAGAGAATGACACAGCAAAAAGGAATAGCAGACAAAGCTACAAAATAACCAAAAGAGACTTAAGTTGAATTAGCAATTACAAACACAAAGAACGTTTCTTCTAACAGACAAATATTGGAAGTACATGAAAGAAATGACAAGGTGGGAAGCTTTAAGTCTAATCTTCTAGAATGCTTTAACATAGAATTATTTTTCCACAATAGTATAACATTGAAGGTCCAGACTCCACCAAATTCTTGAGCATCCAAATGAATATATTCATAGACAGAGAGAGAGAGAGAGAGGGGGGGGGGGGGGGAAGGGGAGGTAAGCATCTTAAAAGACTTAAACCATTGAAAAGAACACAATAATTTCTCCTGTGGACTTATAAGCAAGACAGATATAGGAACCTGACCTAATCAAAGCTAATTCCAACGAAAACTTCCTATGAAGTGCATTCCAAGATGACTTTGATGGATTGACAAGAGTAAATTACCATGTTCATCCAAAGCCACAAGCAGTGATAAATCGTCTGTCAGATTTGCTTCACCAACATGTTGGTACGGAAGACCCAAAGGAATAATTGATCCACCTCGCAGATATAGCACTGGCAAATCCTGATCAATACAGAAAGTGGGAAAAATGAAACTAAGTTTACAGATTACCAACAATGCCAGAATCCAATTCCAGACAGAAGAGAGGCTCTTTAGAATCTGGTCTGAGTGTTCAGGATGAAATACCGGATGTAAATCATCAAAATCAAAACTCATCCAAATGCCTTTAGGCAATGTGTGCTGCAATTGGTGCAGCTCCTGATCACGCATAGTGCTGTAGAACATCAGAATGGATGTTAGTGCAAATAATACAAATTAAAGCAGCATCTACAAGCCCCACCTCTCAGAATGAAAAGTAGATAAAATTACTTGAGATAAATACTTGGGGAAAAAAAGAAAGAAAGATGGATGACCACAAAAGCACCAATATTTGTTTCTATCGCACATTAAAGTTACTGATGCCTACAAACAACATCAACAGGACCATGTTACTCATTCCACATATCACTGTCTCATGCACTCCTGAAGATGTAGGCAAAAGATAGGCTTGCTGAACTAGATTTTGAAAAGCAAATGTCAAAAAGTTCCACAACTAAATGATTAGGCAATAATCTAGTCATGAAATGTACCTATGATAGTCGATAAACAAAAGATCTCTCAACAGAAAATATAAATTTAAAAAGCCATTGTTGCATATAACATGTTAATTAGTGATGTCATTATGTTAGGGTAAATACCATGTGCATTGATGTGGACAGTGCAACCTACTCCCTGGAAAGCAACCATCAAAATATATACTACAAGTTGCAACCATTAGATTTCTATCATGTTGTGATGCAACGTATTGGAGAGTGATCCAAAATAGTACCCAATCACGTTGCAAAAAATACTAAACATTTTCTTACATAAAAGGAGATGAATATTTGCATAAAAACACAAACACGAGAAGTGCATGTAGAAAGGGCTATTACAGACCAATCTTCTTAACCTGTGGCTTAGAAAGATATAATAAAAGAAATGAAATTTTAGACATGTAATCAATCCTTGAGCCCTTATCTGTGACTTGGGCTCCAACAAGCCAAGACGAGCCACAAGAAGATGAGAATCCAGTATGGCAGGGCTCGGCATATCTGCAGCATTTAGGGCTTGGCTTGACAATGTGTATGTCTAAAGTTCTCGTTCACTGAACGAAGAGTTTGGAGGACAGAAAATTATCTCTACTGAACAATTATATAATTTTCAAGCTCGGAGTGGCTTGATTTTAAAATCTGAAAAAAAAATTTGCCAAAACTGAGAGGCACATTGCAAGCCAGACCAGTACTGTGAAAAGTCTACAAAATCTGATACCATTGGTTTAGTTCCAAGTAAGGTAGCACTAGTGATATTACAACTCAAAATCTTTGCTTTGGTTATATGCAGAGAAGGTTATAAGGATTAAAAATTTAAAATATTATAGATGAACATTTGAATAAGAATCATAATTTGGCCATGCCAGGCATAGACTGCAGAGATCATTTAAGCAAAGCTCCTCTGCTCTCACCAGCTCACTTGGTGAAAATTTTCTTGATTCAAACTCAACAACGCAATCCTCCTCTAAGACTTGAACAAAAGGCCATAGGCTTAAGAGGTGTAATCCAAGCATAGAGAAACATGGGAACCCCACATAGCATTGAAGCAGGGAAATGAAGTAATATATCTACATTTGAAGTCCTACAATCACCTAGTACATCATCTCCAAAGGAAGAAAGTGAAAACCTTGAATGTATGAGAAGTGGGCCCAACATAAAGGAAGTCTCATGTGCTCTTAAGCTGGGATCTTCTGGATCTACACAAGCAATTTTAAAACTTTAAGCCCCTTTCAAAGTAAAAACAAAATTTTATGTCCAGCATATTGGAAACAAATAATTTTAGAGGCATCAGAACACACCAGCAAAAAATGTAGGAGTTGCCACTGGAGTGCCCCTTGTATGTGCCAAATAGAATAGAGTGTATATGTGTGGAATAAGGCGGTAGCGCCTCTTCAGTGCTAGGCGGCAAACTTCCTCACACTGTAACAGAAATGAAATTCACGCATAACAAATTTGTGGCCAAAATTAGAAACTCAAACTCAAACAGAAACATTTATCAAGAACCATAAATAATTGATGGGTCTATTGGTAGAGAATCAATCCTTTTCTAATCACTTCAGCATGCAAATACTGCTTCAACTCCATCACAAGAGAATGAGCTCAGAAATCTCTATGTACTTATACAGAGTGAAATTGTGTACACAACAATTATTGGAACTAACCAATGCGCTCATAGACCACAAACTACCACAAGGAACAGCAGCATGACAAAGCCACCATTATTCCTTCCAGTCGAACAATTAGTAGGCAACTTGTTACCATTCCTATGCCCCAAATAATCGGTTTGCAAATTGATTACAACTAACTCTGAAATAATAAATTATTCCTGATTGTAAGAAAATGTAACCTCTTCAAGGTAATGTTGAACAGGCAAACGCCTATTCCCTGCTACTTTTTTTATCTTTCTTTTTAATAAATCCATCTTGTGGACGTATGCCTGGGATGTCCCTAATACATAGGAAGTAAAGATCAGATGTACAACAAGTCATAGACTTTTGGCCTTTATCTTTGGGCAAATAGACTTACGTATGATTATAATCACAACTAAAACCCTCAAAGGCTAGTGGTTCCTTTCAAAAGACAAAACATACTTCATAAGAATGAGAAAAATCCTCCCTACATTGTGTCCAATAAATGACTCAGGCACAAAATGCAGCTTCATTTCATCCTCAAAAAATGTGATCCAAAACAAAACTTGCCAAGGGGGCAAACCCTCGAACCATCCATAGAAGGCAAATATATATACCCCGTGAAGACCAAATTAAGCAGGTATGATATCAACATGACAGAGAAGATCAAGTATAGGAAAATTGTATCAATAATCCACTAGGTATTTGCTTTACAATCAATCTCCTCATTAAAGATTTAAATAATGTTTTGAGCCCCAAGAAAGTAGAATTCAGTACAGCCAGAGGATGCCACAACTAGAATTCATAAAGAGAATGGAGAACCTACCAAAAGCCCTAACGATTAAAATCCAATTCGAACTATGTTTAGGATTTATGGTGCCAACGAATATTCTACATTCAACATAAACTTGGGTAGAATATATACTGTCACGTCCCGATTCTATTTTATAATAATTTGTTGTGAGTAACGAGTAAACTATCTGTAACACATAATAATTATTTTTTATAACATTAAATCATAATTCAAAAATACCTAGAACCAATGATCAAAATATCGTTTCGAAATGGTCGAAACGTCCGAAACGTTTCCGTTTCCAAGGGGACCAAAACGAATCAGTGATGAAATCGAAATTCTAATTCTTCGAGGTGTTCCATAATGTTTTGAAATGTTATTATATTTCAATACATTTGCACAATTATTTCAGAATGTTTCAAGGTATTTTGAAGATATTTTGGTATATCTTAACCAATATTTTAAAAAAATAAGTCTTAAATTTTTATTTTTTTCATTTTGTTTCCGAAACGTGTCGAAACGTTTCCGAAACACATCGAAATGTTTCCGTTTCTGGGGCGACCGAAACAATGCACCGAAACGAAATTTTGATCCTTGCCTAAAACAAAGTTACATTCCTAAGAGTACCATAACATAATGAAAATTAACATAGCCTGGAACTGAATAGATAGTATTAAACTTCTAATTGCAGCCTCCTCAACTTACTCCTTCGGTTCAATCCTACTTCTAAAAAATATAAGATTGGGATAAGCTCACTAGCCTAATATGATAATTTTTCCCAATGACTATCAATGTGCTAAACAATATATAAATATGAATAGGTTGAAGAACTATGGAACGACTTGACTTTTTGGCTTCCTTTTGGGCCTCCGTGGCTAAAGAGTTTGAAGATATTTCTCTTTCTTATATTATTTCGAGTTGGACTGCAACGTCTGGAATGTAGTGCTTGCTCATGCATGGGTTTTTTTCTTTTTTATGTTTTCATATCTTAGTTTTTGGATGTCTTGATGTCTTGTCCAACTATGATATGTCCTTTATAATTTTGGTTTTTTTTAATGAAATCTTTGTTTCTTATTAAAAAAAAACATATAACAAAATAAAAAATAATTTTAGCAATAGGTCAAATTAAAATCATTGGTATGCAACACATATCGATAATCATAATTCTTCAATTTATGAATCACCTCGAGAGAAAACTCTAGGCCTTGCACCTTAGAGAAGTCGATGCCCTTCTTGTTTTTCTTGGAAACACCAATACCAGGTTACAAACTATAATCGATATTACTAACCGATGAACCCAATGATATCTTAGATGAAATGGCGATGCAGAATGTCTCGTGGCCACCTAGGTTAATGTAGAGAAACCAATCGGGGTCTTTAATCCAAATAACAATAACATATAACTTGAACCAGAACCTACCAAACCAAAAGTGGCCCCTGCAGCCGTGCAACCTGAGTTGAACCAACATGCTCCTTCTGTGGGTTCAACGAATGTGCCTTCGAGAGAAAGGGTGTGAAACTTGTGATTCCCTAACTTTCGTGTCGGCATCACTATCGTAATAAATTTTGATTGTAAACAGTGATAACACCTGAGATAGTAGATGATGTATATATTAACTGCATAACTTAGTAATGACTATGTTATCCTAGATCCTTTTTCTTGTACATAGTGGTGGCATCTATGATGGTAAAACGAAATTTATATATATTGCGAACTAAGTGAAATTAAAGTCATTCTTAGCTTTTGTTATGAATGTGATAGTATCTAAATTCACTCATAATATCATAAACTATGGACTTTTATGTTATAGGATGGGTGAAAGTAGATCTCGTGACCAACAAGAGACATCCACCGATAAGGCAATAACCAATCATCACCTGCGGCACCTCAGGACACCATGAGTGGCATTTACCAGAGAGAATTGACCACCTTGGCTAGGCAACTGGCGAGAAACCGGGGCGTTACTTATACAACATAGACTACTCAGATTAGCAAATGAGGCACACTACTTGTATGGAAAAAATAGTGTTACAGTCAGGAAAATTAAATGTACTGTGCAAATATAAATAAGCATTGTATTCAAAAAAAAATTCAGATCAGACTCCAGCCAATTATATTTACTAACACTGTCATATGCCTCACACTAATTGCATGAAAGGAAATATTCACATCCAAATCCCTTTTGAGTGTTGTTGCCAAATTCTCCACACGTCATTTGATTAAAATGAAACATCCACATCCAAAAAACCAATTGGTTTGAAGTAAAGTACTAGCATTTCGATATAAAGAGAACCAACCTCTTCCCCAAAAGACCAAGGCTCGTGATCAATCGTGTCAGTCTCAGAATGTCCACGGCAAAAGGGAAACAAGGCACCCACACCCATCCACCTTCCAAACAGCTTGGGTGTTGCATTCCCAGCAAAACCACCAATATCTGGTCCTGAAAGTGGCTGACCACTAAGCCCCTGATTTCAATACTGTAATTCATCAGAGCAATGCATTATATTTAAAAGTTGAACATTTTAGCGGGATATTAACTCAACATTGACAAAATAAGTGATGTCTGAATCTGTAAACCAAAATAAGTGATGTCTCAACCGGGCAAGTTGCTCAAAACGAGAGCAAAAGCATGCATAACAAGGAATTGTAGCGTAATGCATTTCTTGTATAAGCTCATTTAATTACAGTAGTAATAAAGGGTGCGTAAGCCATGTCTAAAATTCGCCTTTAAAGGGAAACATCAACGTGCATATACACAACCTTTAATATATATGCTCATAGGACAAGAGTGGCGTACGCTTCTCCGGTAATCAAAAGAAAACATGGTACCAATTAATCCTAAATATTAGTCAACTTTTGGCTGATGAACTACATTCTTTTTAATTTATTCTAACCAGCCATATTCTGCATATAAAATGTACACAGGATCTGTTAATCAACATAAAATAATTCTTTAAACAGAGGTTAAGGTTTAATTATGTGCCTCATACCATATTCTATCTGAGAGAGAGAGAGAGAGGTTCACAGGCTGAGAAGTCTGCTGTAAACCCCAAACGAAAAATCTGCAAAAGCAAGACATAATGCCAAGAAGACTTCTTAAAGAGAAACTCTAATCCAAGGATATTTCTTGTTGAAGTTACCCTCCAAACAAACTGTCATCAATCTAAGACCAATATTGGTATGATAACACACGACTTAAATTTCAAATGTATGAGTTCTCGAGATAAGCCTATGAATTTCATCAAAAGAATAGGAAAAACAGGGAAAATCTTTTTAACAGCAAAGATTGATCTCTGATAAAATGTTTCAAAAGATGAAGTATACAAAAACTATGACCAGTGAGGCTATCCCACAAGTTCTCCAAAAGCACTCTAAGTCACAATCTATTAACAAGTAAACCCACCAACGCTACTTTCACAGTGATCAACACCAGCCACTTGATAGACCCTATAGAGTAAACAAAATATGGGCCCCCCGCTCAAGGGTAGGGCGAGTGGAGACTAGATTACCTTCTTTATTCTTTCCATGTAAACATTGCAATTTGCAAGGGTAAAACCCATCATGGGTCTAGTGCAACAGTGTTGAAGGTAAAGAGAATTGGAACCCATACATGACCTTTCAATAATTTAAATTCTATCCAATAAGTTCAGTGTGAAGATGAACAGTGAAAAATATGTGTGGATGTGGAGGTTCACAAACTGATACCTAAAGCTAAAAACATGATAAATGACAAAGAACCCAATGATTTGTATTATACCAGGCTTCACATATCCAGCTTTTCCAGACTGTACAATGGTATAGATTGTTCCAATTGGCTATACTAATGTGCATATGGAATATGTTTGACAAATAAATCAAGCCTGCCGCATCAATCATGGATACAATTTTATATCTTCGTGAACTTTCCCAAGTAGGTGCACTGGATAAGGTAGTGACTCAGACCCAGAAATAACAGGTTCAACTCTACCAGATTCATCCAAGTCTTGCTGTTAGTGACTAATTACGTTCATAAATGGAAACTACACATAAACAGAAACTACAAGTTTCTTAAATGTTTATTTTCAAGTTATGTGCAGTTAATGTGGGCCAGCTTCACAAGCACTTTAACAGCACAATAGTGTGCTTTAAAATCCATGGTACTGCAATAATCAAAAATAGTATAGGACTGTACAAGAGAACAAATTACAAGTTCAGGTTTATTAGAGGGAACTCAGGGAAGGTATAAGTGGGTATTATGAGAAGGGCAACTGA